CTTTCTCTCTTTATTATTTATTCTCTTATGATTTTGCTACCAGTATCAGTACTTGGGAGGAGAAATACAAGAATCAAATAAAATAGTTGAAAAAAATAATAATTATCATCATTCTCTCTCCCCGAGCTTTTACAGTAGATCAGTGAATACAAGTATACTGTATATGTGTAGAGGTTTTCAGTTTATCAATATGGCCACTAGATATATTACAGAAGACAAGGCTATACAACAGTTTCAAGCAACAAATAGGTACTTGTCTCTCCACATCCGGTTTCCTAGCTGAACGTTAGACTTTAGGAATTTAAATTTAAACCTGCCAACGGCTCTTAAGTATTGCCCTTCCTTCACTTATTACACCCTATAATTTTCTGCATACACAAGAAAATCCACTGTTTTTATGTTTTTCATCTTTTACAAATCGATAAAATATCATGTAGTCTGTAATTTGAAATGCACCCAAATACGGAGCATTTATCAGGCATTGTCACGAATTATCACACCATGAAGGCCAGCCGGTAACTCAGCTCCTGCCCCCCGGCTGCAGACCAGATGACGTCATGTGCGGTGAAGGACGAATTTTCGACTCAAAGTGGTTGACTTGGTTTAATTTGACTGCTGCACCCTATCGGGGTAGTAGGCAGCTACCAAACAGGGAGGTACTACCGCCTGGGAAGATATTGGAAGCATAATGTGTTGTCTATGGTAGACCCTGCTGCCATATGGCATCACGAAAATTGTGACCAAGTCCCAGGTTGCTGATCTGACTTTCTGCTTCATTTACACACAATGCAGGGTCTCAATTGTTTCTCTTACCGTTGACAACACAACATACATGTATCATTTCTCACTTTTGATATTTTTTTCATTTTTTTTTACGGGAATTAGCCCACCCGGGCACACGTCAAACGACCCACAACGGAGCCTGGGGGGCGAAAAAAAGAACGGAAAGAAATTGAAAATATAGAAAAAAAGGTTATACTGTATTAATCTACACCACGAAGATGCCGGAAAACCAGCTTTTTAAAGTGAGACAGATTGTAAGAGTATGGAAACACAGAAGAAGGCAGAGCATTCCACAGTTTGGCTGTGTGAGGAAAGATGGAGGTACTATAACGGGTTATTCTCGTGTGACCGATATCCACAGAGAAATGGTGGGCACCGTGGGCAAGACGTGTGTTACGAACCCACGGCCTTACCGGCGGTACACAGGATGCCAAATCCCCTGAACATTGCCCGTTAAAGTACCTGTAAAAGAGAGAGAGTGAAGCAACATTGCGGCGAAGAGAAAGGGGAGAGAGATTGTCGACTAAAGGAGGAGAGTTAATAAGACGAAATGCCTTTGATTCCACCCTATCTAATAGTTGGACAGAAGAAGAGCCACCCCAGATATGAGAGCAGTACTTCAAGTTAGGACGAATGAATCCCTTATATACTTAGAGCAACTGCTCAGGAGTGAAGTAGCTGCGGCATCTGTATAGCATTCCCAACTTTCGGGAGGCATCTTTAGTTATACTAAGGATGTGTGATTTCCAGGACATATTGGAGGAAATGGTGAGGCCTAACATATTTATTTCAGAATTTGGGGGGATGATAGCGTCCTGAAATGTAATTGGTGGGAGATCGTCTACTTTACAAAGTGTAATTGGTAAATATTGAGTTTTGTTACTATTAAACTTAACCAATTTTGTATCTCCCCATTCAGAGATGCTGCACAGATCCGCATTGATAGAAGTAATGATATCAGTTCTAGAAACAGATCTAGTTTGATAGTTAGGAGGAAGGGGAAAATGTGAGGAAGAGTGAAAAGTAGAATCATCGGCGTAAGAATGGATAGAATTAGTTGTAGTGTGAAGTAAATCATTGATAAAAAGAAGAAAGAGAGTTGGTGAAAGAACAGAACCCTGTGGGACGCCACTACTGGTAGAAAAAGAGCGAGAAATCGATCCCTCGACAACAACTGCCATGGATCGATTCTCAAGGAAGCTAGAGATGAGAGAACAAAGTGGGGGAGAGAAACCAAAAGAGGGAAGTTTAGATAGCAAAGACTTGTGCCATACCCTGTCAAATGCTTTGGAGATGTCGAGGGCCATGACAAAAGTTTCCTCATAATCCCTAAGAGAGCATGACCAAAGATGGGTGCAATAGGAGAGCAGATCACCAGTAGATCTTGCCTGGCGAAAGTCATACTGGTGATCCGACAAAAGAGAAAGGCGTTCAAGGTGACGGAGAAAATGGGAGTTCAAGATAGTTTCGAAAATCTTAGAGAGGGATGAAGTTAGGGCAATGGGGCGATAGTTAGAGTGATTAGAATGGTCACCCTTCTTCGGGATGGGCTGAACCAAGGCATGCTTCCAAGAAGAAGGAAAAGTTTTGGTTTTGAGGCAAAGGCGAAAGAGGCGAGCAAGCACAGGGGCCAGGGCTTCAGCACACTCCCTCAGAACACGAGGGGGCATTCCGTCCGGTCCATGCGCCTTACTCACATCCAACCTGGATAACACACTGGCAACCCTGCGAGTGGAGATTATAGGAAAGTGCATAGGTTCAGTAGGAGGTGGAGGGGTAGGAGGGATAGAGTGGGAATCGTCTAAGGTGGAATTAGAGGAGAATAAGGTGCCAAAGAGGTTGGCCTTCTCAGGGGGAGAGTTGGCTATAGAGTTATTGGGACGGAAGAGGGGAGGAAAAGAAGGCGTGCAGAAGTTGTTACAGATGTTTTTAGCTAAGGACCAGAAGGATTTACTAGAGGAAGAATTAGTCAGGACAGCAGTCTTTCTTTTAATACAATTCCGCTTGGCCCTACGAAGAATAGCCTTACAACAATTCCTAGAAGTAATGAAAGAGGTGTGGGTAATAGGAGAAGGAAATAGTTTCATAGCTCGATATGCCCTATCTCTCACCCTGCAAGCAAGAGAGCAGGAGCATCAAACCATGATTGTAATGTGAAAGTTTTGGTAGAAGATGGGATAAATGCACTCATACCGCCCTGTATAACCCCAGCAATGCTGTCAGCACATACTGAGGCATCCCGAGTGGAAAAGCAACATTCATCCCAAGGAAAGTCGGTGAAGAATTCTCGCAAGGATTGCCAGCTTGCCCTCCGATAGTGCCATAGTTGACGTTTAGAGGGGGGTGGGGGAGGTGGTCGTGCCCAGTTTGATTTAATAGAAATAAGGTTGTGATCAGAAGACCCTAAGGGGGCAAAAATTGAGTATGAATAGTGTGAGGGGTTAGAGGTAAAACAAAGATCAAGAATGTTAGCAAGTTGATCGTGTCGATCAGGAACGCGTGTAGGGTGTTTGATTATTTGTTCCAAATCATTAAGTAAGGAAAAAGAGAGTGCCTCAGCTCCACCTGGGTCATCCCTTGCAGAGCCAAGCCACTCTCTGTGATGTACATTGAAATCCCCTAGGTAGAGGATCTCGGTGTTGGGGTGTGTGGATAGCAACGACTCATGGCAAGAAGGGAGATAGTGAAAGAGTTCGAAATAGTTGGTAGAGTTGGGAGAACAGTATAGGAAACAAAGAAAAAGTCACAATAGGTAGAGATATTTTGAGCCAGATGACATCATAAAGGGGAGATTCAAGATCCGTGAGTCGGGCTATAGGTGTACGTGTGTTGCAGTAGGCGCATACACCTCCCTAAGAACGGAAGTAGGTATAAAGGTTGTAGTTAGAGACTTGAAAAGGTTTGGGTGAAGCTGCTTTGTTCAGTTGAAGTTCGGAGAGTAGTAAGAGATCGGGGGAAGAGGTTAATAGATGGTGCTCCACAGAAGAAAAATTGGATCTCAGTCCGCGAATGTTGGAGGAATGAAGCGTGAAAAAAGCCGATCCTCCAGCAACCGTAGTGGCGTCAGTTGAGGCCCCAGTAGCTTGATGATGATCAGGTCGGCCCTGGGGTCCACAACCTTCTCGACCAGTGGGACCCATCAGAGAAGGCCCCGCTTCAGTATCAACTGACATAGGAGAATAAAATAGAATGAATAAAACAGATCAAGAATGAGTAAGGTTTTAGTTGTGGTGTTGTCAATAGTAAGAGAGACAGTTGAGACCCTGCAATTGTGTGTAAATGAGGCAGAAAGATAGATCAGCAACCTGGGACTTGGTCACAATTTTCGTGATGCCATATGGCAGCAGGGTCTACCATTAGACAACACATTATGCTTCCAATATCTTCCCAGGTGGTAGTACCTCCCTGTTCATTATTATTAGAATTATTATGATTATTACAGTTACTGTATTATGATCATCATTATTTTATTATTTTATTTTTGTTTGTTTTATCATAAATTTTTATTTATTATGAATTTTTATGACAATTATTTATTATTATTATTATTACATTTTCGCCCCCCAGGCCTCGATGTGGGTCAGTGACCTGTGTCCGGTGGGCTAATCCCGTAAAAAAAAAAAAACCATTCCAGTCACATCCCGCCAGTTAACTAATCAAGTTTACATCGTTTAAAAAAAGTTAAAAAATCGGGTTCATTGTAAGCCACCTGGTAACATCATTAGCATCAGGAGACAGTGGCATAAGAAGTCAGCTGACAAAAGCATTAGACGTTATCTTACAATATTATTAGAAGCTCGCGGACACTGACATATTAAGCTACAGACAGAGACATCAGAAGCCAGCAGACAGTGACATCCACCTGTATAACGACGCACATACATCTTGGCACCACTTGTACAAACACACATACTACAGACATACTTGGACACCACTTGTACACACACACACACACACACACACACACCTTCTTGACTCCACCTGTGCAACCTCCCAAAATAGACTGTAAAACTACCACATAAAAAAAAATGATGATGCGGCAATTTTGGCATATACAGGCCAGCATGGCGCAGCCGGTGCCAGCTTCTGTACAGAGGGGAGGACCAGAGGCGGGAGGGGGCACCATGCTACGGGAAAGAGTGCATTATGTGTTGGGGGGGGAGGGAACAAGTGCCAGCAAACCCAACAGTATCAGTAAGGTGGGCGCCTCACTCAGTATTGTGTTGTCCCCACTACCTGGAGGCAGTCGCTTCTCTCTCCTGCCTGTGTTAACGTTGTTGCTGACTGAAAAGTGTAGTTCCTTTTCTGCAATTCGCTGTGCTGCGATATATGTAGAATAATTACTAGTAAATGTTAATTTGTTGGTGCTGTGAACTACGTGACCTGGGGATTTGCAGGCAATTTGACGATCTGTTGATATCTGTCGAGCTTCGAGAACTTTTTTTTTCTTCGGAAATTGGTGAACGCACTTACTGGCAGTGGCGCACTTGTGGAAAGTGACGCACTTGAGGTTTTTGAGGGCAGTCTTTGGAGGATGAGCAAATAGAAGAGTTCTTGGTGACGGAGAAGCACTGCTGTACAACTACAAAAACGTTGACAGTCAACACCACAGCTCTGAGCGTCTTCTAGCATCAGCCAAAACAAAGAAACGAGTGCAACATGTCGTACCGTGGTGCTTCCAGCATGGGGTGTCCAATAAAAAAGGACGAATGCTCCCTCTTCAGCCTGTACCCTCGACAAGGTACTTTATCACAGCTTCACCACGTGAACACTGTACTGTACCCTTCATCCACCTTTTACTGCCCTCTTCACCTGTTGCTGACTTATTGTGAATTTTCTAGAAATACAAATAATGTAATTCTAACAGTAATAACATAAGTATTATTTAAAATGTTGAATTTTTAAATCAGAAGATTTCGATGATTAGTGACATATTGGGGAACAAAATATACTGTATTTTGTAAAAATCTGTGTGATGTCACATGCAAAACACAGGGATTCACTTTAGGGATTCAAAGGTGGAACGATGTTGGCTTTGGAACCTTTATGTGTACAGGAGAAGTCAGTTGTGTGTCAATGGGAACAAAAACCACGAACTTCATGTAAACTGTGAACCCCTTAAGTTAACCCTAAACATTATATGAAAATTTCCTTGTTCTGGAAGGTATATATACTGTACATCTTCCTAATCCAGGAGAATTAGTATATATCTGAAGGGACCCCTAAATCAGGGTGTTGTGAAGTATATGTAGCAAGACTATTTAATTGAGACTATCATGTCACTGAAACTATATTTAAGTGTAAGTATGAAGGCTAATTCTGGTGGCAGTAATACTGACAGAGTCCCTGAACCAACTGATAATATATCTTAAAAAAAACATGCGTTATCTGATGTCTTGAGAGAGAGAGAGAGAGAGAGAGAGAGAGAGAGAGAGAGAGAGGGAGAGAGAGAGAGAGAGAGAGAGAGAGAGAGAGAGAGAGAGAGAGAGAGAGAGAGAGAGAGAGAGAGAGAGAGAGAGAGAGAGAGAGAGAGAGAGAGAGAGAGAGAGAGAGAGAGAGAGAGAGAGAGAGAGAGAGAGAGAGAGAGAGAGAGAGAGAGAGAGAGAGAGAGAGAGAGAGAGAGAGAGAGAGAGAGAGAGAGAGAGAGAGAGAGAGAGAGAGAGAGAGAGAGAGAGAGAGAGAGAGAGAGAGAGAGAGAGAGAGAGAGAGAGAGAGAGAGAGAGAGAGAGAGAGAGAGAGAGAGAGAGAGAGAGAGAGAGAGAGAGAGAGAGAGAGAGAGAGAGAGAGAGAGAGAGAGAGAGAGAGAGAGAGAGAGAGAGAGAGAGAGAGAGAGTTGGTGTGTGTGTGTGTGTGTGTGTGTGTGTGTGTGTGTGTGTGTGTGTGAACCCGGTGACTTCCTGACGACTGATAAAATAATCTCTGAGTCACCGTCACTGTCTGGGAAGCACGTTGCAACAGTCAGCCTCACCACCAATAGGAAATACTTCACATCAAGAGATAGATAATAGAGGGTCTTTAGCGCTGTGTTCAGTTGTCAATCCATGCACGATAAGCATTGAACCAAACTTAATGTTGTTTTCCTTCGTGACGTCAAACAAAATTCCGTCGCAAAATAAACCCACAACAGAGAGAGAGAGAGAATGTGGCTAATGTTTTGTAAATGACAGGAGATGGCCGTCTGGTCTGCATCCATTTATATATAGAATGAAAGACACATTGGGATACTAGTTTACTGTTGCTGTGAGATGTGACTTACGAGAAAGGGAGAGGGGAATGTTTTTCATGTTTGTGGCTTCCTTCCTCTTAATTCTTTGGTTATTCACCTCTCGTCGTTCATTCAGGAATCTCCTATATTTCATTTCATCTTTTCTTAATTCAAACTTGCCGTGTCTTTCTTTTATGATTTTATTCAACATCGTCAATATTGTCTCACCGCTTGCCGAGCCCCTGAAGATCCTGTTCTGTAAATGCCTGGACGAACAAAAGGTCCCCAGTGATTGGAAAATGGCTTATGTGAGTCCTATCTTCAAGAAAGGCGATCGCCACTCCACGAACAACTATAGACCGGTGAGCCTAACCAGCATAATATGTAAAGTACTTGAGAGTATTATCAGAGATGCCGCGATGGAACGTCTACTACGAAACAACCTTGTAAAGGATTGCCAACACGGTTTTATGACGGGGCACTCCTGCTTAATACAATTGCTCAAGTTATTGGACATTTGGACCCATATTCTGAAACGGGGTGGTAATATCGACAACATATACCTAGATTTTGCCAAGGCTTTCGACATTGTACCCCACGAAAGCCTGAAAATCAAACTGGAAGTGTACGGAATTCGGGGAAATGTCCTAGCGTGGATAGAAAACTTTCTACATGACCGCAAGCAGTGTGTGGTGATTAATGGTACAAAATCATCATCTGTACCTGTCACAAGCTGGGTACCACAGGGCAGTGCATTGGGCCTGCTGTTGTTTGCTTGTTTCATAAATGACATGCCTGACGTTGTACACTCCTCCATACAAATGTTTGCGGATGATGCCAAGTTATTTCTGGAAATCAAGAACCAAGCGGACTGTGAAGAGCTGCAGAAGAATCTCTGTGAGCTCCAAGAATGGTTGAAGAAATGGCTGCTGAGATTCAATGTCAAAGTGTAAGAGGATGCACTTGGGGCGTACCAACGGTAAGGAGGCGTATCATATGTGTCCCAACGGGATGAAGAAACTGCACTATTTGAGACTGAATTTGAGAAGGACCTAGGTGTGTATGTTGACAATGAGCTGAAGTTCTCGGGCCATTGCAAGAAGAAGGTAAATCAGGCAAATAAATTATTAGGTCTTATAAGAAGGTCGTTCAGATATCTTGACGGTCCGTCCCTAAATGTTCAGAGGAGGGCCACCAGACTGGTTGCCTGCGCTTCGGCACCTCAACTACCCTGAGAGATTGGAGCGCCTGAACTTGCCTAGCTTATACTACAGACGGGCAAGGGGCGACCTAACTGAGGTGTATACTGTATAATCATCTCAAGGGGCACTAATCAGTTGAATATCCTTACTTGGAGCTGGCGGACGCTCGCTCCACAAGGGGTCACAGCCCAAGATTGAAGAAACCTCAGGTCCAGAAAACTGTGGGGGCAAACTTGTTGGGAGTGAGAGTTGTGAACTCTTGGAACAATCTGCCAGAAAGTGTTGTGACGGGACCAGACTTGACCAACACTGAAGCAGGTTCAGGTACAGTCACCCAAAAAAGTCCTGTCGCGAACCATGAACCCCGAGATTCAGACTCTTGAATCCGAAGCATTTATGGACAGAATAATGTATCAGTGTCTACTGCTTCTGGTTCACGAGTCTGAATCTTGGGGTTCGTGGTTCGCGACAGGACTTTTTTGGGTGACTGTACATTCAGGAGCCGGTGCATGGCCAGTACTTGCCAACAGTGCGTAACAGAGACGTGACCGATCGCCCAAGCGGCTAAAGAGCCGACCAGTGGTGAAGAGGATAAAAGTAAAAATATACCCCCTCACCTCAGTCAAAATGTAGATATTTCTCTCCCCCCTTCACTCTCTCCCCTCTCTGGAAGGCTTCAATCAAAATAGATACTTCAGCTTCAGTAACTTGTCACTGCACACATTAGACTAGAGAATAAAGTACCCCTCTCCCCCTCTAGTCTGATGCTGCTCCTAAAGGCAAGGATGCAGTGTGTCAGCTGCTGAGAGTAATTTTTTTTCCATAATAATTTTTACCAGTCCCGAAAGTGATTCCCTAAGGCCCTCCTAAGATTGTTCCGTGGTGCCCCTTGTAAAGATGCATTTTCTGCTCCACCATCTATCTACAATAATATTAAAAGGACGTGTATCTGAGTATGTCCGTCTGTTCCATCCATAGTTCCAGAACGGAAGCAGTTAGAGACCCTGAAACATTACACACATATTACATGGGTCCTATTATTATTGATCACGGACCCCCGGGTGGTCTGGCCAAGAACCAAAAATCTTCCCCGACTGAGATATCACTTCGGCAATCGTGGGAAGTATTTATACCTGTGTCAGGGAGGCAAGCTGTGGCGGTCAAGGTTAGGTTTGACTGAGTTGAGGTGGGTTGGTTTAGATTAGATTAGGTTTGGTTGAAGTGGTTACGTGTGTCAGGAAGGGCAAACTATGACAGTCCTGTTAACACAGTATTTATAGACCTAATCCGAGCGAAGCCGGGTATTTTTTTTCTTGTTGATATTAAAACATGTTTCCTGTCAACGTTATGATATAGTCGTATACGCCTCCACCACTTGAATTCGATTAGGTTGTCAAGGGATATTACTACAGTCCACTCACTTTTTTAAAGAATTTATTGTCACTATTTATCAGAACTCTGTATCAAGAGTTAAGTTACCATTCATGTGCCTCCTGTTGCTTACTTCAGCCAACATCCTCAACACATTTTCCATTATTGTTTAGTTGTCAAGCTTAAGAACTGATCCTTCAATTTTTGCTTGTCCATTATATTATATTATATTATATTATCACATAAGCCACTTTCCAATCACTGGGGACCTTTTGTTCATCCAGGCATTTACAAAACAGAATCTTCAGGGGCTCGGCAAGCTCATTGCTCAACTCTCTTAGCACTCTAGGATGCACCATGTCAGGGCCAGGACTCTTATGGACCTTTAGCTTTGACAGTTTATTTCTAATACCCTCTTCTGTGAACACAATGTGGGTCAGTGCTGTGTCGAACCGTCTGTCCTCAACGCAGGAAGGTTAATCGCATCCTCTCTTGTGAACACCGAGGAAAAGAAGCTGTTCATTGCCTCAGCTTTATCCTGGTCAGAATCTGCAGACCAACCGTCTTCAAGCCTCGGGTGTGATACTCCTACTCGCGTTTTTAATTTTGACTTTGCATAACAGTAAAACGCCTTTGGGTTTGACTTGACCTCGCTTGCAACCGGCCTCTGGAACTCCTTTTCAGCCCTTCTACATTCTATCTTTGCTTGGTTTCTGGCTCTTGCATACATCCTCCTATCCTGCTCATCATTTGACCCAACCCACATCTTGAATTTCTAGGTTTTCTTCTTAACTTTGTCGACCGCTGCATGGTTCATGTGTAGGGATCCCCTCGTATTCCTAGAGGCACTGGGTTTGGTCTTGGGTATACAGTATATTTGTAGATCAAATGGGTCACTTTACTAGTTATGATATTCAGCGTAGTGTCTGCGTTCTTGTGCCTTAATGAGTCAGGCCAGTGGATACCCCTCATCTCTTCCTCCATCCCATTGTAATTTCCCCTGTAGTATTTGCACCTTGGCCTGGCTTTATCTTGAACTAGGTAACAGTTAAATCTGAATTACAACACTGTATGGTGACTGGTGCTAACTGTTGCAAGGTGTTCCAGTTTGGCCACCATACCCTCCTCGCTTGTTGTGATGAGGCTTGAGATGGCTTGGGTGTTTGCTCCCCTCTGTAATGTGTCGGGTCTCTAACATGTTGGAACAGAAAATTATCTCCAGAGTTTCTACAAAAAGAGTAGCAGGGTTATTCAAGTCATTTGGGGTGAACTCGTTTGTCCAGTCGATGTTGCCATAGTTAAAGTCCCTCATGATAAGGAGGTGGCTAGGGTTGAGCATCGCTGCATTGTCTATTAAGGTTCTTAAGTTCCTTTAATTTCGTGGACCACAGTTTGGGGGTTTGTAGATACACCCGACAATAAGTAAGTCCCTCCCTTTAGTTTAATTTTACACCACTTGGACTTTTCAAAAAATCCTCTTCCTGTACCCTCGCCTGGTTGGCTCCAAGGTCTTGCCTAGCATAGATAACCACACCCCTCTTGCAAGCTTTTTGAGAAATGTTCGTAAATGAGTCATATCCAGCAATACTGAACTCGCATTCCTCTGGGTCGATTCTCCTGTTCTTGTACAACAGTTTGACGACTTACAATATCGCGTTGGTGTACCTTCAGTAGTGTTTCAAACTCCTCTCTCTTATCAAAGAACGTGTCAATATTAGTGTACATGACATTCAAGCCCGAATTTGTTCTCGGTAACGTCTCTGCTCTTAGTAGTAACCCGCCCCCCCCCCATTCTCAGAAGCTGCAGCATTTGCTCAGTACACTATATTTTGCAGGGTGTGGTTAGAAATCTCATTGTTTACAAGGCGCTTGCCTCCTCCCGGCTGATAGGCGGAGCTGGTGCCACCTCCTGGGCGGGGGGGGGTAGAGCGAGTTGCTGTCCCCCCCGGCCCTGTGTCGGCACACTTGCTTCCACCACTCTCTCCCTGAGTACAACCCATGTATACTCGTCCTCACTCCTCCTCGACTCCTCCCTCTTCTGCTTCAAGCCCTTCAGGAGCTTTCCTGTGCTGTTCCCTCTGCATTACTGTGTGATCTAGGTGAATGAATACACTCCGAAATACCTCGCTCCTTGCTAAGTTTTTTGCCTCCCGAATAACCTCCCATTTTTCTCCTCACTCACTAGTGTGATCCTGAGGGGGTAAGGCTTATCCCCCTGCTTTTGTCCCAGCCTCCTCACCTCCTGAGGGGTTGATGGCATCTTCAGAACCTCTACAAATATTCTTAAACTGCATCTTATTGTGTGTTATCTCACTCTCGGTTCCCTCTGCCTGGCTCTCAGAGACTCCAAAAACTATGACATTGTTCCTGCACTGGAAACGTTCCCGTTGTTCCTCCTCTCCCCAAACAGTAGGTCCGTTAATTTTCATTTCTTCGACACACGTCTTCAGAATCCCTAGCTGCTGTAGAACCTGTTCTGATCCTGCATTACTCTCCGCCACCTCCCGTTGTCCTGCTAATATGTCAGCATAACTCCTCTTGGCAACCACCTTCATTCTATCGGCTACTTCCTCAGTCTTAGCAAGGATCTCTTTCCCAGCTTGTTCTAGTTTGGCAACCAGCAAGGCTCCAGCTTCATCTATTTTCGTCCCAAGGAAACTCATTCCCCTATGGCTTGCAATCGCCTCATTCATATTGACTACACAGTCAGGGCAATACCAGCAGCAGCCTTCATGCTTTACGGCAGTTTGCAACATCCTAAACGTTGCAAAGGTCAGGCCTGTATCCTCCATATCCGACGTCCCCCTGCAGTAATCACATATCATACTCATGGTTGTTGTTGTTGTTGTGGGGGGGAGGGGGGTGGTGCAGACTGTGTATAGATCTACCTATTTAAAATAAAGAGAAAAAAAAACATTACTTAGCTGCCCTCAGCACTGGCTTTAAACCTCACCTGATGCCTTTAGAGTTGTCTTCTGTTTTCGTTCTCTTGTTTTTTTTTTCAGTTCACTTCTGCGTTTGTCGGTATTTATGTGCTATCTCTGTGTACACTACATTTTGCTGTGAATAACTGATTTTGTACACCCACTCAGTCCTTTAGAAACAGAGAAAAATAAGATAAAACTTTATTTGGGGCGGTAATAGAATGCCTTTAAGGATAGCCAAGCTTTTTTATTTTATTTTTAATTTTTTTATTTCAACTAGTATTTCCTTATACTTTCTTTTCCTGTTCTCATCGACGACTATATCTCTTTGTGCTATCACTGTGTACACTGTATCTCCCTGTGAATGGTGTATTGTAGGCACAGTTTCAGTCCATGAGAAAGCACACAAACAAAATAAATTTTAAAGTCTCTGGCACCTGTAACACGACTTGGTTTCAGCTGGCAGTGGTGCCTTTCCAGCTTGCTTGCCTGCCAGTTTGTATTCACTTTAAGTTATTTACAACCTCTTCTGCAGTCACTGATGACACTATGAACTGATTTAACTAAAAGCACAGTACTACACTCCCTGGTTGGCCTTTATCACAGCCGTGACCACAACTCCGTAAAAATATAGATTAAAAGTTTGTCATATGGCAATGATTTTTTGGTTATAGGCTTTTTGACCTGGGCTGTGTCTCCAACTCGGTGAAGATTGAGTTTTAAAAAATACAATCGCATCTAGCATTAAAAATCCTACATCGATTTACACTTTCATATCACTAAGATGATCTTGATGATCTTATGTAATGACTGTCCAATTTCTGCAGCTCAACAACGAAGGCCCGAATGCCGAACATGTTTTGTTACAGAGACGCAACATGACCCTACCCGCCCGCCCGTTAATAGTTATGCATCGTTAGAGAAGAATGAGTGGTTAAGTTAGAGTTATGAAGGCCAGTTAAACCATGGTCTAATGAGTGAGTTGTTTATCGAGTTGGGAGTGGCCGGTAATAGGTCTTCTCAGCATGACAGTTGTCATGAGTGTCAGTGCTATCTACCTGTTATCGGCTGTGAAAATATCAAGTGATATCAGCACTTAGTAACAGTTACTATCACAAGAGATAATTTAGATGCCGCTCTGATGACATTCTTGGAAGCTGTAACGAATTTTCTGGTCGGGTTCCATGTAAAGACAACTTGTTTGAAGTACAGTATTATTGTCAAACTTATTCTGTTATGTTTATTTTATTTTTATTTTTATGGATATTACAAGAATAATGTACAGTAGTACACCAAATTTTAGCTTTACATATTTATCGGGACTGTTCCTGTGAGGACTATTATAATAAAAGACCTTTGTCAACTTAAGGAAACCATGTCATGAATGATCTCTTACAGAATGAGTCATTTTGAGGAAAGAGGAATCATTTCAAAAGAAGAATAGTAGGTTAACTATTTCCTAATTAGGCAGAGTGAACAACTTGTGATAGTCTTTAATCTTTAACAAAAAGCAGTTAGATTTGGAAGATAATTTATAGTTGATAACAAAAGAAAAAAAATAGGCCATCCACTGTACCTTCATTTTTTTTTACCCCCAACCAGTGGCGAAGAGGGTAAAAGTAAATTAAGTCGTTAGAGTACTGTATACAGTTGTACTGTAATTAAAGGTTAGATTTTTCAACATCCTTATAGAATTGACATAAATCTACTTGGGAATTAAACAATACTTGTGACTTGCAAATTAAAGCTAAAAAAAAATCAATACCCCTGTATGGTATTTTAAGTTTTTGCAAACATCCCTGATGGCAGGTGAATGGTACAGTATCTGAGCAGTCATTATACCTGCGACCTGCCAACTTCCACGACTGATAAGGTGATACCTGCATAAATTTTTTTTACTGTGATATATCATTGTTATTTTAACGTGGTCTTAAATTAGGCTAGTTTTTTACGATTAGTTTTAGTGAAAATTGTTTGAAATTGTAAAATATGATATTCGGTATGTATGCTATGAATTGCTGATGACATTTGTCTTCCATATGGTGATGTCCTGGCTGCTGTTTGAAATGGTTGGACGGCAATACTTTTTTAATTATTATTCTTTAATTCAACTTTGAAAAGAAGAGTGCATGTATCATAATTCTTTGTGGGTGAAAGCACATAATTGATATCAAGCTTGAAACCACTGGGTGTCACTGAGAATGAAGTTTCCCACTAGAGTTAACCTTAAAAAATTTGAGCCTATGTTAAATTTTAAATGTGTGTTTCACACCCAGAATGCATGTCGATATGTCATTATAAAGATTTACCTAGTATTTGAGGTAGGTCAGTAGAGTATCCAGTATGTCACTGCTAAACACTCTGAGGAATGTGATGTGCATTGACATAATGGACGTATTGGAGTCAGTAGGTATCAAAACCTGAGTGTTGCAGGCAGAGTGGAGGTTGTTTAGTCACAGGCAAGAGTACCAAGAACAGACGTGTTTACAACTACTGTACAGTACGATTAATAAGGAAAATGTTTGTTACAGGGAGTGAGAGCCCGGTGTTTGGCCACGGAGGATTCCGGGTCGATACAGCCCTCCAAGACATTGAAGCCATTATGGAGGCCGAGGACTCTCAGAGACTCAACAAGATCTCGGCGCCATATGAGGTGCCGCAGTTCCCCATTGAGCAGATTGAGGACAAGCTCAAACTTCAGCGACAGCTCAGTGTCATGTAAGTATCTCCTCTAACCCAACTCAATGGTGCATACAAGGAATATTTGTCATATGAACTTTTGAGATTTTGAAGCTTGGTAGGTACTCTTATTTTTGCATTTCCTTTTCCTTCTTACCTGATTTCTACCATTTTAATACAGTTAGTATCATTATCTTTCAAGTACAGTACAGTACAGTTGTACTGTACTGTATGAGTATTTTGAACTTTGATCTTATTATCATAGACCTAGATGGTTGTAAAATTTTGTTCAAGGTTTGGGTTAGAGTCTGCTGGGGGTTTTCTGGTTATGTAAATAGTGGTACAAAGTTCTTGCAGTATCACAGAGATGAATGGTTAATTTTAGTTTAATATTAACAATGACCAAGGTGAATGTCAAGTCCATAAGAGGTTAATATAACAGTTTTGTCTAAGGTTATTGTCAACTTTATAGGAGTTTGATATTAAGCTTATAATGAAGTTAATATGACAGCCTTGAGTAAGATTGATTAACAGCAGCTTTATACAA